TACCTCTGTTGTAGCCGCCGGCAGCGACATTGGATGGTTGGACGGACGTTCTTGTTCCTCCGGCGAACTCTGCGCTTCTTCCTCCGGCGAACTCGGCGGTGACATGGATGTTTCAACGAAGATTGCAATTTCGACGGGATTTGATTTGATTTGATTTGATGGAGCTTCTGGTCCGAGGACCCTTCCTTCTTATAGTAGGCAACTCAAATCCGGCTCGGGAAATCCATCGATTGGTGTTGGAGAAGAACATGTATTTGCTGTTGGAGAAGAACACGGAGTCCAATCACGACACGGGAGCAGCAACTCTGCCGCCGCTGGCAGCTTGCGACGCCCTGGGCACCAACTTGCAGCAGGTGGTGGAGGTTGAGGGAGGCGGCGACCGCACGCAGGAGGCGGAGCTCGCCGTGGGGGCAGGCGAGAGCGAGCGGCTGCACGCTGGGGGGAGGCGGAGCTCGACGCAGCGCGCGAACCTAGCCTTGGTGCGACGGCGGCCCGGCTGCTGTCCTCCCGTCCAACCCGCAGCACGTCGAGCCTCACCGGAGATCCTCCATGACGCCGGTAGGAAGCCCCTATCCCGCAGTCTCTCTCTGCTTCCTTCCCATATTCCCTCTCTGAATCTCTCTCTCCTTACTTTCTTCGGTAAGCAGCTGCCACTGCCCTCCATGGATCCCCGACGCCTCCGCCATGAACCCATCCATCCCTCCTGTGCACGCTTCCCTGCAACTCCAGACGCCGCCCCCAGCTCTCTGCATCGAGCAACAGCAGTTCGGGCAGAGGACGACGCCTCTGCCTCGACTGCTCGCCCCCTCTGCTTCGCGCTTGACTGCCAAGCCCCTCCCGTCCTCATCCCCGTGCAGCGAGACCACAATGGCCATGGCTGATGGCCTTCAGGGCGTCGCCGCGGAGCTTCTCCTGTCGCCTCCTGTTATCGCTCGCCTCCGCTCGTCGGAGCCCCAAGCACCGCCGCTGTGGAGTGTCGCCCTCCCCGGCGACGCTCGATTCGGTGACCCCGGAGCTCTCCTCGCCGCCGGCCCCGCGGCACTGGTCGCCGTCGCGGCTGTCTTCCTCCTCCCTGGCCCCGCCTCCCGCCTCCCGTGTACGCAAGCTCCTCCCACTCTCTCCCCCTCGCATCAGCAGTCGCCCCCTTCGCCTTATCCATCATTGAGCGGCGCGGTGGAAAATAAGACGGCGTGGACGAATCGTTTTTCACTTATCCATGGACTGCGGGTCAAATACTAAAAAGCGCAGGAACCTTTATGCGAAAAAGCCGCGACGATGAACCCAACAGATTCAATCCGTGCAGGGACTGCGGGTTGAATTCTTGAAAATAAAGGGGCTTTTTTGCAAAAATGACGACGACTTACGACCAGAAACACTCCGTGCTTTATTAGCAGGGAAAGATATGAATGAGCTAATCCACTTCGTGCCTTCAAGTACGAAAGTCGGTAACCGGATCCCCAGGAATCCAGGACAGGGAACTTGCCGGCCGCGCAATGTCCAAACACGCCATTACCGCCTAAAACATCTCATTCGTACGATCAAAACCGAGCGGCCATGATTTCCTGCAACGACAGCCATCAGACATGGATCAGACGGCCAGGAAGGAACCCTAGCAACCCCCGTTGCCAATATAAAGAGGGGAGGCATTCCGCTCTCCCACCCCCATCCTCAATCTCCTCCCGCCGCCGCCTCCCCTCCCTTCGTTCTTCTTCTTCGAGGTCAGTTTCCCGATCCAGTTCCCTTCTCTTTTCAGATGCGTTGTCCATGGCTGCCGAGAAGCTCTAGATCTACGCGCATGTCTCAGTTTCTGTTTAGTTGCCCGTAGCGTGCGAGCCGCTGGAGTATTAGGAGCCTTTCGAGCGGATCGTTCTTCCGTTTCTACTTTGAAGGGCTCTCCGCTAATACTGTTGCCTTGATCCGTAGTTTGCTAGGGTCATGTTCCTAATTTGTTAGCGCAATTGCAAGCTCGCAATACCGAATCATCTCTGCTCCTTGTTCGTATATTTATCGGTCCATGGACGTATACTTTTAGTTCGTAGGATGCACAGATTACAGTCGTGTGGAATATTTATATGTCGCTCCATCGTTTTTTTTGTCGTTCCCTGGTGGTGTTGCCGAGATCTAGTTATGGCTTCTGCATGATATGCTGGAGGTGTAATAACATCTTATTAGACCATCTTTTTACTGTTAACCGTCATAGCATCTTATTAAACCATCTTTTTACCGTTTACCGTCACGGGTTAGCTAAGATATTTGATCTATCAGTTTATGTCACTTGTCCACATGATGATTCCCTGTGTCCGTTAGTTTTAATAATCTTTTTTCTGTGTCGCAGTTGGGTAGTTTACCTCTACCCACCAGCCATGGGTAAGGAGAAGACTCACATCAACATCGTGGTCATTGGCCATGTCGACTCTGGCAAGTCGACGACCACTGGCCACCTGATATACAAGCTTGGAGGCATTGACAAGCGTGTCATCGAGAGGTTCGAGAAGGAAGCCGCTGAGATGAACAAGAGGTCTTTCAAGTACGCGTGGGTGCTTGACAAGCTCAAGGCCGAGCGTGAGAGAGGTATCACCATCGATATTGCTCTCTGGAAGTTCGAGACCACCAAGTACTACTGCACCGTCATTGATGCCCCTGGTCACCGTGACTTCATCAAGAACATGATCACCGGTACCTCCCAGGCTGACTGTGCTGTTCTCATCATCGACTCCACCACTGGTGGTTTTGAGGCTGGTATCTCCAAGGATGGCCAGACACGTGAGCACGCCCTCCTTGCTTTCACTCTTGGAGTGAAGCAGATGATCTGCTGCTGCAACAAGGTATAACTTGTGAAAAATCTTCATTCCTGAAAGGCCATGTAACCATATTACTTTGTGTAGATGTTGCTACTTGTGTGGTAGACTTATTTGAGGTTGTTATATTATCTGAGTGCTTGATTTTAACTAACATGTACACATGCTCTGAATCAATTGCTTGATTTTAACAAACATGTACACATGCTCTGAAACAATTGCTTAATTTCATATTGCTGTACACATTTTGATTGTAGTGGTCTAATTGTATGTTTTCTGTAGTACATTTGGATACACCAGCTTCTACCTGTATGAATCTAAATGTAATATTAAATGGTGTATGAGTTGGATGTGAATTAATTAATCATCATATGTTTACTAACCACAATGTAAATATGTCTGTTGTTATCCTGTACTCCTGTAACTAGTTGATTGTTCTAATGTTTAATTCTCACTCTGTGATTGGTACTGCTGTGCTAGTTGATTGTTCTGATTGTTTATGCTAGTTATAATAGTATAATAAAGTCTCTTGCTGTTATCTGTTCGCAATATCTTACAGTTCCATCGTAGCTCTGAGTATCATTTAACTAAAGATGTCCTTCTACTGTTATGTTCTTAGATGGACGCCACCACTCCCAAGTACTCAAAGGCGCGTTATGAAGAAATTGTCAAGGAGGTCTCTTCCTACCTGAAGAAGGTCGGCTACAACCCTGACAAGGTTCCCTTCGTCCCCATCTCTGGGTTTGAGGGTGACAACATGATTGAGAGGTCCACCAACCTTGACTGGTACAAGGGCCCAACCCTTCTTGAGGCGCTTGACCAGATCAACGAGCCCAAGAGGCCCTCAGACAAGCCCCTCCGTCTTCCCCTCCAGGACGTTTACAAGATTGGTGGCATTGGAACTGTGCCTGTTGGCCGTGTTGAGACTGGTGTCATCAAGCCTGGTATGGTTGTCACCTTTGGTCCCACTGGTCTGACAACTGAGGTCAAGTCCGTTGAGATGCACCATGAGTCTCTCCTGGAGGCGCTTCCTGGTGACAACGTTGGCTTCAATGTCAAGAATGTTGCCGTGAAGGATCTGAAGCGTGGTTTTGTTGCATCCAACTCCAAGGATGACCCTGCCAAGGAGGCAGCCAACTTCACCTCCCAGGTCATCATCATGAACCACCCTGGTCAGATTGGCAACGGCTACGCCCCAGTGCTGGACTGCCACACCTCGCACATTGCTGTCAAGTTTGCTGAGCTGGTGACCAAGATCGACAGGCGATCTGGTAAGGAGCTGGAGGCCCTGCCCAAGTTCCTCAAGAATGGTGATGCTGGCATAGTGAAGATGATTCCCACCAAGCCCATGGTTGTGGAGACCTTTGCTACTTACCCACCTCTTGGTCGTTTTGCTGTCCGTGACATGAGGCAAACTGTGGCTGTTGGTGTCATCAAGGGTGTGGAGAAGAAGGACCCAACCGGCGCCAAGGTGACCAAGGCTGCCATCAAGAAGAAATGAGGCGTTTACCTGAATCCATCTATGTCTGCTTTTGAGATCTCTAGTAGTTTAGTGCCTATTAAGTTTTGCTACTGTTAGCGCCGTGTGATATGCGCCCTGTTGATGTGTCATTTGAGTACTGTCGTTAATTTTGGCTTTTGGCAAAACATGGAAGCTTCTGAGACTACTCATTTTTATCCTCTGCTTTGGAATGTTAGGCTGCTACTTTTAGTCTTAGCTGCTGTTTCTCTTTGAAGCCTTTGGTGTTCTTTTGTCGTGATAATAGCAGGTTGTTTTCATTCTCAGATCTGCTTGGATTGATCCCCATCTAGGCCTACCAAAATATGTTTGGCTAATAGAGGCATGACCAAAATGTTGGGGCTTGCTTGGATAGTACTAACTACGAAATTTTTGGCAAAAATCATAGGCTTTGATCTGTTTTCAAGCCAAAAGATCAGCCATGTAGTAAAATGCAGTTCGTTACAATCAAATCTGAACTAATGCGCAAATAAATGGTGCAAAATAATTAGCATACACCCAGTACAACGGAGGAAAATAGAGTGCAAAGACGTTTTTGTATTTCAATTTAGAAAAACATGCAAGTCACATGCAAATGAGATCGGTGTTAGGGTTGGGGGGCTCCATGTACAGGCCTACTGGTGAAATGTGGAAGCGGAGTAGCGCAGCACCAAGCCGGGAACCAGCCAGCCGGCGGTACATCCTCACCTTGGTGACAAAGTTTTGAAAAGCTGATGTATAGTACCCCTCTGTAAAAAAATAAATAAGAGCTTTTAGATTACTACAAGTGATCTAAACATAACTATATTTCTTTATGGAGGGAATAAGACCGTTCTAAAGTGTCATGTCGAGTTTAGCAATTCGAGTTAAGCATTTTTTCTGTTTTGCTTAGTCCAGTGAAATTTCTAGTCTTTGTCTTTAGGTCACCGAATAGGACATGGTGTATCTTGTATACATCAAAGTTAAGCCCAAGCCCGCAGAATAGCTTTTCGAAAACTGTTTGCACCGAGCAGGTTCATCTAACTGAGTTGAAAAGGTTAAAAGTTACAAAAATGTTTTCTTCTTGCACCTGACCTAGTACCATTCTAAGTTAGCCACAAGCGCCAGGAGGCGGCAGTACAAGCCAACTCGGTCGAAAATTTTAAACAGGTCGAGCAGCATTCCAAAGTTGCTTGACCGGAGTATCGTCGTCTATCGGCATGTGCCTGCTACGAACACCTATAGCTCATCTTCAAGCCTCACCTCTCCTGCTTTCTCAGCTTCCTTCAACACAAAGGTCTTGAGAGCCTCCACGTCCCTAGGCCCTGCAATGCCATTGAGTAGTTGGATTAGGCATTGAGCACTTACTAGACGAATATTTTCAAAATAAAGAATCATACATAATGGGACAAACTGTGTGTATACAAAGAAAATGCAGCGAAAAATTTATTGCCAAACTGCATATGATCTTTTGAGCGGTGATGCCAAATGACAGTACAAGAAAACTGTAACTGTTACATTAAATCAACTTCAGGGACATGATACGGTCCAGGATTATGAATTGATGGTTGAAAGTGGAGACTCGCTATAGAAGTATAGAATAGCATTTTCATGAACAAAGTACCACAACAAATCCAACAGGTGGAGCAGCATGATGACTAATAGAATATTGAAAAAGCACGCATTCATGACCAATAAAAGCAAAAAATAAAATAGAATGATATGTGAGCAAAGTTGTACACAAAGTTTTCCTCCCTCATGTTGTTTATTTAGTTATGAAATATTGTCACCTCTGCTGTTAAGAACTAGCTGATACTCCCTCCGATTACAAATATAAGATGTTTTGGATATTTCAATATGGACCACATTGAAATGAGTGTAACAAACCCAGTGTCTATATACATCCAATTCAGACAAAAGTTAGAAAATCTTATATTTGTGAATGGAGGAGTATATCAGTAACATCCAAGTCACGGCTGGTCCAAAAAAGAAATTCTAAATTTTCCGCATTAGCGGATCCTGCTATATACGAAAATCGCGCCTAAAATGTAATCTTTTCCAACCTTTTGGTTCAAGTTCAGAGGTTTTAATCTTTTAAGAGTCATGCCCTACTCTCACAATACAAGTCAACAGTGTGGTTTTGGTTTCTAAAATCTATCGCCATTCCAAGAGTACTGAACCACATGCAATAGATTCCAACATGGTTTTCATGGTAGTAGTATCTAGTTTATGTTGTCCTTGTCAAACAGAAGTAAGATGTGAGAGGGATTACCTTTATATTTTGCAACTTCTTCGCCATCATAGAACACCTTGAATGTTGGGTATGAATGAATGTCCACCTTTGAGCAGACTGGTTTGCTTGCACCGCAATCAACTTTTCCGATCTCAATTTCATCCGTACCTTCAATAACCTTCCCAAGGTCCTCCCAAAGAGTTCCTAGGCTCTTGCTGTAAATGTAGCAGGCATCCGTGTTTAGCAGAAATTAGTCAAAACTTGCATTGTACTTGATATATCCATGTCACCACTACGGCATGTAGAGCTTACCAGTGCTTACACCAAGGGACGCAGAATTGCACAAACCACACTGTGTCCTTCTCCTTTATCTAAACACAAGAGAGAGAAAATCCAAGCTGGATTAAGCAACGGCAGTGCACAAGCATTGCAGCGAAGTAACTCGAACCAAAACAGGAGTTCAGAATTGAGATGGCGCGCCGCATCTAAACACGGAACCTTCCGTGATTGGGACAATTAATACACCAGGAATAATGATCTATCGGTTTATTATTAAGAAATCATGCTGGAATCAGTAGCAAATCTGGGAAACGGCCACATGTCAGTAACTAAGCACACCGCCTGCTACACTGCATCCCAGCGTAGCCAAGTGATAAGTCGAAAATTCAGCTGTTCTTGGGTCTGCGGCGTGCCTTAGAGTACTACTACTATTATATCTCGATGGGGAGGTGGAAGAGGGGAGAGACACGAGAAGGGGAAAGCAGTCGGTACCTTGTCGGAGAAGGTCTCTTCGGTGAGGGTGATGACCTCGGCGCCGGATCGCGCGGCCAGGGCCGCGAGTAACGTCACGGCCACCAGCAGGAGGTGGGTAGGGAGGCGGGAGCGGCGCGCCGGATCCATGGCTCGATCGGAGGACGGCCACAGCGACGACGGGGAGACAAGGAGAAGGCCGATACGCTAGCCGGGGTGGGTCGATGTAGTATTTCACTGGGCCGGTCCGGGCCGGGTCGGGCTAGGATAGACGATGACACGGGTTTAAGCATAGCCCTGACCTCCAAAAAAGGAAAAAAAAAAAGAAAGCATGTGGAACCTGGGCCTCCGGACCGGACGTGGGCCCCTGTCGTCGCCTTTTTTTTTGAGCTTGTTGTCGCCTTCTTGCTTTGCCAGAGGCCGTCAGCCACAGTGAGGCAGTTCATATTATTCATCGGCTTTATTTGCTCCGAGAAAAAAGGGTCTACTGTTGTCAAAAAAATTATCATGATAATACGTGTTTCATTCATACCATAAATATATTTTTAAAAAATTATATTATAAAGATCATATTACAAGTCACGTTAATGACATCAGATAGCTAGCTTTTGCACAAACAAACACCAGTCAGAAATAATAATTTACAATCAAAACTGAAGAATCCCCTAAACTTGGCACCAACATCCTTCACCTGCCTTCGGCACTTCCTGAGTAGCCACCAAAAAAAAACATTAGCCTAACCTTATCAAAGATCTAGTCTCTGTCTGTTCCTTTACCCGTGACAATTTTGTAACTATGAAATTTGATGGAGTTGGTTTCTCAGTTCAGGATGCATGCACTCGGATAATTCTGCACCGATGTGACAGTCCTGGCGATCTCTACCCCGTCCAGCTATCATCATCTTCCACTACTGGACCGGTCGCCCTCTCTGTCGAGGTTGACCTTTGGCACGCACGCCTTGGCCATCCGGGCTCCGCTGCACTTCACATAATGATGCAAGATTTTCTTTCTCTTGTGATAAAACAGACAACCATACTTGTCATGCATGTCGTCTCGGCAAGCATCTTCGTCTTCCATTTAGTTCGTCTTCCACAGTTGCATCTTTACCGTTTCAGTTAATTCATACTGATGTATGGGCCTTACCTATTCCAAGTAATTTCGGTTATCTTCATTATCATGTGATCTTGGATGATTATTTCTATTTTGTGTGGACCTTTCCTCTCCGCTGAAAATCTGATGTTCCATCTACACTCACCATATTTTTTCCTTACGTGTCTACACGGTTCGGGAGGTCTGTTCATGCTTTGCAAACTGACAATGGAAAGGAGTTCGACGACCTTACCATCTGCACTCTTCTTGCAGCCCATGGCACCATCTTCCGGCTCACGTGTCCTTACACCTTGCCACAAAACGGTCGCGCCGAACGTATGCTCCGCACCCTTAATGGATGTGTCCGCACTCTCCTGTTTAATGCTCATGCTCAACCTCGCTTTTGGTCCGATGCACTCGCCACAACAACCCTTCTCATTAATATTTGGCCTTGCCGGGGTTGCCGACGTCGGTTTTCGAGAAGTTTCGGTCCAGTTTGTGCGTCAACGCTGACACATCGACTGCCGTGGGGTGGTTTAGTCTTGGACGTGATGATTTCTATGTACATCTATATATTGGCACTGTATGCCCATGAATATACGTGTGTTGCATCGTATTATCTTTCTACAACCTCCTCACCCGAGCTTGATGTGACTCTATCATTGATATGCAGCTTTGCGGACCTCCAAGATGGCTGACCAAAGGCGAAGCCATTTTTTTAAGAAACTTTCAATCTATTCATCTTCAATCATGACATTACAAAGATCACATGTAATAAAATTACAACCAGGTCCGCGGACCACCTATCGAAGCCATTGCCTTTGAACGAATCAGACTAGGGCAACACCCTGGATACACCATCAAACTCCAGATCTGACACTCCCGCACGACTAAGACGTCGGAGGAGGAAACCACACCTGCCAGCCACCAACCCCGAACGAAGCACACGATCCGTCTTCCAGATGTCACCGATGCATACCACTATCAACTTCCGCTCCTTGACTACCTCCCAAGCTCCGCGTTGGTTCTGGAGCAGACGTTGTCGCTATGCGGAGCCGGAGGACACAAGTTCACCACAAGAGTGTCGCTGCCGCCATGACATCCCTGCTTAGATATGCCAATCCTCAAATCCATCACCGACCATAGAGTTGATCACCTCATTAGGAAAGGAATTGAAGCTTCTTTATTCCGCGTCGTCGTCGCCGCCGTCGAAGCCAAGACGTCGAACGATGCAAAACCTAAGTTACCAGGGCCTTAGAATCTAAAGTTACATGATCCACAGGCGCGAGATCCGGCGACCCCCTCACCACCGACGATCGAGAAGTCTTTGGCAGACGGGAGCCGCTGGAAGATTGGCCTCTCATTTTTTTTTTGAAAAGAGAGCGATCTCTCCGATTTCTATATATAAGAAAGCACAATGTCTCACTCAATACAAAAAAAAAGGGAAAAACAATCCTGCTAATGAGACGATGCATGACCCAAGGACCTAAAACATCACACGCAACGAAGACGCGTGCACATGCCTTAACCCCTCCATCCACTTATTGCCGAGGCTCCGAAAGAGAAGCAGCAGCAGAACCTAAGACAAGACTCAGGGTATCAAGTACAGTTCCAAATTTCTATGCATTACAGGCCATGAAAAGTAAGGTCGCAGGGGAAGGAAGGTGATGAGCAGGAAGACTTCAAACAGCAACAGCGAGGGAAAACGGTTCGCAGCCTCTCACCTACTGTTGTCAATTTAGGGGCGGTGACAAGGGTCAGGGAGGGGTTCGGTGGATATACGATTGTGTGTTGGCGACTTGTACCAGCCGCCGGTACGCCATAGTTCCACAATCGCTGTCGCTAACAAATTATACCGATGTGCATACTTTTATATTTCAGAAATACAGCTAATTTAGGCCATCTTCACCGCGCGACCCGAAAACGTCCGGGTCTGTCCGTTTGGGTCTAAACGGACAAATGAAGCAGCCCAACGCGCAACTCCATCCGATAAAAGACGTCCGCTTCTAGTCCGCTTTGCCCCATCCCGAGCCCAAATTTGGTTCGGCTTTGCGGTCGAGCGGACATCGATCGGACGCTTTCTCGTCCGCCCCGTCCGCGCCTGGACCCACTAGTCACTAACTCATCACTCCCACCGGTCTCTCTCCCTTTTTTTTTCTCTCTCTCTCCTTGTCACAGCAGCTACAACAGCGGCGGCTCCTCGGCAAAACGCGGCAGGACCGGCGCTGCTGGGGGCGCCGCGCCGCGGTACGGGCGCGCTGGCGGGCGTGGCCCCGGCGAGAGAGCGAGGCATGGGCGAGCACGGAA